AAACATAGCCCACACGGAATAATACTGACCTTCCTCCCTAATCCAGTCATCTTTTCTCCTGGCCAGATCCTTTTGACACTGTGCATGCACCCCACTGCCCCATTCCTATGGGCAAGCTGTACTCAAAGGAACTGCTGAAGGCCATCATAAGCTTACCCATGGGACCCATAAGGTAATGGCATGCATGCACAGTATGCAGGGGAGTCAACTGGGACCATAAGGGCTCATTCACACGAGAAAAGGCCGGCATGTACAGCTACGTGCTGCGTGCACGGCCGTATCGGGCAGCTCCCGGGAAAGACAGGTGCTGGGTGTGATTAGTACGCAGCCCCTGTCCTTCTCTGTGGGAGTACATGGCCGTACGCCGCCCTACGCTCACCCCAAGTGCAGGATCCATCCTGTCAGCGTAGGAGTACGGACACCCGCACGGACGTGCAGGGCGGGTGAGCGTAGGGCTCCTAATGTGAAAGCGGGATTCTGATGTAAAGGAGGGGCTCTGGTGTGAAGGGGGGCTTCTGATTTGAAAAGGGCACTTTGAAGGTCTCCACTTTGTTTTTTACATTTTAGACTACGTGTCTTGAGATTCTGCATACTTTTAGATGGTGCCATGATTCCTGAGCGCAGATGAATGATCTCTGTTAAATACCTGCAAAAAATACCTGCTAATATTATAATTACACATTACTTCACGTACAAATAAATATATCTTTTTTTTTCATATTAAATGTTTATTAAAGATTTTCAAAATATAACAAAAAACACACATACAATACAGTAAGCATACATTAAGACAATCACATTACATACGGTATCAAGCTTCATATGCTGCAAGTCCCTTTCATTCATTCAAATAAATATATCTGATGCTAGGTCCACTTTAATGCCCTTGCTTCTTGCTGAAGACAGATTGCTGTCTCTTAAGAAAAAATGTTCAGCTGTCCTTTAAATAAGGGAGTTAGTAATATGAGGTTAGTAAAATAATATTGTCACCCCTGTGGATTGACAGCGATGGATTAGAAACTGCTTACAGAATAAGTGTTAAATCCCAATCATGCTGCTTTCTATGGTGTGTATAAGGTAAGCTTTGTGCAGTGCTTTGAAATATTTGAAAGTTGACTTACATCTGGAGGTTAAACGGAATGCCTAAGATTTCAAACCGCTCAATCTCAAAATCAACACCAATTGTAGCTTTGTAATCCCGGTCGAAGACATTCTTGCAAAACCTGCAGCAAAGGAGAACAGTCAAAATCATTGCCCTGTTGATATAGTTAAATCTAAGGGTGAATCTGAATGGCAATTTGTTATACTGGAAAGCAACCGAGAAAATAAAATATATAACAATCCAATAGCTATAAATGTTTCAAAGCAAAGTACATAGTTAAAAATTAAAGATAAAGTGTAAAGAAAAAAAAAATCAATGCAGTATCTGAAACCACACAATTCAAGTTATCTCATGTCTCATTGCATTATATGGGTTACATACTGAACTTTTCATACCATCTTGTTTTATATAGAATGAAGAGGAATACAAACATCTGTCAGGTTTTTTTCTTTTTTGTATGATGTATCTATGGTTGCCACCTGTCCCGGATTCACCTGGACAGTCCAGGTTTTGAGTCCTGTATGTGCTGTGTCTGGGTTTCAGCTGGCCTGAAACAGCACATAATTTTTTTTCTTTTTTGTATGATGTATCTATATATATGGGATGCACCGATATATCGGCCGAAAAGTGCAATTTTCCTGCCGATACATAGGCGCATCACAGGTGTCTCTCCTCCCCGCTGGGTGCTGCTCTTTGTCCCAGGGTGGAGGAGAGAAAGTGACAGCCGGCCAATCGCTGAGGGAGGTGAGTGATGTGAGTGGCCGGTGTCTCTCCTCCCACACCGCTCAGCCGCCTATCACAGTCCGGCAGAGCGGTGTGGGGGCGGAGACCACCCGTGCTGTCACAGGAGGCTGGGCTCTCCTCCCTGGACCGCCCCGCCCAGCCTCCTGTGACAGTGTGTGACAGAGGAGAGCAAGGTACAAACACTCAGCAATCAGTGATCGCTGAGTGTTTATTAATAATTGAGGATATGGTATGTGTACTATGTCCTCAATTATAAATGAATGGGAAAGTGATCTACATCACCTCCTGTTCATTCATGATTGTGGTTATAGTAAACATACCATGTTATCAATGAACAGGAACACTCATAGAAGATTCCTGTTCATTTATAACAGGGGATACAGAAAAAGAGATTGAGGACTCTGTGTCCTCAATCTCTTTTTCTATTTTAAAAGGAAAATATCAGGGGTCTGTTTAGACCCCTAATATTTCCCTGAATGGGAATGGGCTAAACTGAGAAAATTGACCATTTTAAGTAAAAAATAAGGTAATTTTGAAATTGATGGCGGCAACTCAAAAAAGTTGGGACAGGGCCATGTTTACCACGGTGTGACATCTCCTCTTCTTTTAACAACACTCTGTAAACATCTGAGAACTGAGGAGACCAGTTGCTGGAGTTTTGGGAGAGGAATGTTGTCCCATTCTTGCCTGATCTATCAGATTCTAGCTACTTAACAATCCTGCATCTTCTTTGTCGTATTTTTCGTTTCAAGATGCGCCAAATATTTTAAATTGGTGAAAGGTCTGGACTGCAGGCAGGTCAGTTAAGCACCCGGACTCTTCTACTACAAAGGCGTGCTGTTGTCATAGAGGCAGTATGCGATTTAGCATTGTCCTGCTGAAATATAAAAGGCCTTCCCTGAAAAAGACGTCACCTGGATGGGAGTATTGTTCTCTAAAACCTGGATATATCTTTCAACATTGATGGTGCCTTTCCAGATGTGCAAGCTGCTCATTCCATAATCACTAATGCAACCAGGCCCGTCTTTAATATTGATCGGACCCTGGGCAAACATTTTCTTGGGCCCCCCCGGGCCCCCACCAAGAAAAAAAACCCATGGTAATTATGTCTAATCATGGCTTTCTACTATCATGCATTGTAATTCTATCAATCATGTTAGGGGCCTACTAAAAGGAATGACAGAATGGAATGCCCATAGACTTTGACAGGGGAAGAGAATGCCCACAGATAGACTATAATGAAGCCAAACGCAATGCCCATAGAGTATAATGGGAAGCATAGTATCAGATATTTTGTAGGCAAATCTGAAAAAGATATCAACTTATCCTTTACCACAGATCTTCCCCATGTATAGTAACATATTTTACAATTGAAATAACTTTGGATTTTTCCTGTTTTCTATGGAATGACAGGTGAATAGCACAATGGAATGCCCATAGAGTATAATGGGAAGAAAGATGGGCCTTGGAGTCGAGAACCATATGCGCACAGCCTTACTTCCTCCAGTGAAGCCCGTGCCGTGTGACATGTCACGCTATGCGGGCGGGGGCCGGGGGAGGGCTAACTTTAAGATGCGATCGTGCAGATCGCATAGGACAATACGTTATGGCATTGCCGTATGCGGCCGCTGCCATAACGTATTATTCTATGCAATCCGATCGGCAATTTTCTGCGGGCAGCGGGCTCAAGGGGCAGATGCTCTGGGCCCCACAACCTTGATTGGGCCCGGGGCAAGTGCCCTCTTTGCCCTGCGTTAAAGACGGCCCTGAATGCAACCCCATATCAATAGAGATGCAGGCTTTGGAACTGAGCACTGATAAGAAGCCAGAAGGTCCCTTTTCTCTTTAGTCTGGAGGATGCGCCATGGTTGCCAAAAATAATTTCTAATTTTCGATTCATCTGACCACAGAACAGTTTTCCAATTTGCAACAGACCATTTTAAATGAGCTTTGGCCCAGAGAAGACAGCATCTTTTCTGGAACATGTTCAGATATGGCTTCTTCTTTGCATGATAGAGTTTGAATATATGGTATATGATTGCAGGCGCACATACTCGGCTGGCCAGGCCGAGCCGCGGCAGCTGAAGAGGTAAGGAGTGGATGACCGACGGCTGAGGAACACAGCTCACCGTGTGTCTCCACGTCATGCTCGGGGGAACATTGAGTGCTGTGTGTCAGTGCTCTAAGTCTGGAGGAAATGTGCTCAGATCGAAGAGTGACACAGCGGGCAGTTTTAACAGTCGGCTACGCGTTTCAAGGGGTTCCCTCTTTTCCGAGCCTCAGGGTAGTAAAGACCTTGGGAAGCCGGTCATCTTTTAAAAAGTGACAGGGGGAAGGAGTAAACAAAAAATTCGCCCGGTGATAGGCTACAGCTCCAAGAGGGGGAAGGACTTCAGACAAGGGAACACCCAGGGGACGAACTATCTGCATCTCTTCTGGCATGATTCTAAAAACCTTTTCTGGGACACTGCAGGATCGAGACAATTAGGATGGTCATATATGTAGGCATGATGCAGCCTTTATTATTATTATTATGGGTATGATATTGTCATATCGTATTCCCCGGAGTATTGGGGAGCCCCCATGAAATTTTGCCCAGAAAATGTGGACGTATTATATGTTAATTAAAAAATTCCTTATTTTAAAAAAATACTTTAATGTCAACGTGTGATAAAAAAACAACACAAACCACAATAATACAAATAAAAGTAAAACTGGAAATTCTCTATTAATAAAGAGAGATCCAAGTGGATACAAATTTAAAAGGAATGTTGTATTAACCTATTAATGAAGGTGAAAGTGGCATCCACTGTCCATGCGTATGCATGCGTGTGCACTCTCGCGCCTACAAAAAAACGAGAGCAGGAATGCACCCACCTACATACACACGCTCATGGGCGCGCAAGCCTGCAGAGCCGGATGGAATACCCCAAGTGTGTGCACACATGCGTACCCAACCTGCATGCACAATCAAGTACACACCCGCACGCAAGTACATGCGTAACACTTCATTTGTATTGTTAAACCCAAAGGTATATTGGGTCCTGAAAAAAAGGGGAGGGTGATGGACTTTTTATTCATGTGTATAATGAATCGACAAGTGATTGCCTTTTTGAGCATTGGTCTAAAGCAGTGGTTCTCAACCTGTGTAACCTCGGGACCCACATGTTGCATCGTGACCCACGAGTTGAGAACCACTGGTCTAAAGAATGGTATGAATTTCAATTTCTTAATTCAGCCCAGCAGGTGTCAGAGTGTTAAGTTTGTATACCCAATACTCCGGGGAACACGATATGACAATATCATACCCATAATAATAAAGGCTGCATCATGCCTACATATATGAACGTCCTAATTGCCTTGATCCTCCAGTGTCCCAGAAAAGGTTTTTAGAATCATGCCAGAAGAGATGCAGATAGTTCGTCCCCTGGGTGTTCCCTTGTCTGAAGTCCTTCCCCCTCCTGGAGCTGTAGCCTATCACCGGGCGAATTTATGGTTTACTCCTCCCCCCTGTCACTTTTCAAAAGATGACCGGCTTCCCTCGGTCTTTACTACCCTGAGGCTTGAAAAAGAGGGAGACAGAAACATCCTTACCCGAAGTCAAGGATTGTCCCCAGTGTCAGAGCTGTAGCTATCAAAAGATTTCCAAGGGAGGGGGATTGGATTCAGAGACTATGGTATCCCAGGATATCACACCAGAATCACATAGGAAATGAGAAGCTGTAAGGTATCCATGAGTCGACCACCATGTGAAAGCAGCCAGGTTATACATAGCAGGGAAAAACATAGGGTTACCCATGAGTGTGGTAAGAGGAAGGTGGGGAGAGATAAGAGAGCTTGAGAATTTGACCAGGTCTCCGATTTTCAAGATGTGAGGAAGAAGGGGACTGAGCTGGATGTAAATGTCCAGGAGCCAAGGAATAGCCTGGAGAGAAAAAGGATGGGTGTGAGGTATTTCTAGAATAATCCAGAGTGGGGGGTCAACAACAACACGAAGAGCAGCAATAGATGCTATATGGGCCGCCCTGTATATATTTAATGAGGTTAGGAACCCTCAGGCCACCATGTTTACGGTTGAGGCTACCCAGATAGTGGTAAGAAGGGTATGTGAAAAATAAAGAAGTTTAGGGAGCAGGGTCATTTTTACAGCAAAAATACGTCCGATTCTAGATATCGGAAGATCAGACCAAGAAGCCAAGAGATTTTTTAGGGAGCGAAATAGGAAGATATAGTTGATTGAGTAAAGCATTTTGAAGGAAGAAAGAAGAGATTGCAGTGAAGTTAAGCTAAGTGAGGGTTAGTAAGATGTCATCAGCAAATAGGCTGAGCTTAAAAGGGATGCCTGCAACCTCCACTCCCATTATAGATGGGTTATTTCGTATAAGCATGGCAAGGGGCTTGACGGCTAAAATAAATAATATGGGAGAGAAGGGAGAGAATCATGCCTGTTTTTAATGCAGTGCTGTCTGAGATTACGGGCATCCAACATTGAATTCGGCCTTGTCCCTTGTACACAGGGTCTTTGCAGTTTTACATTGAGGAACATTATTCTGATATTGTCTGACAATTTTTTGGCGCGGCTTTTCACAGATTGGTGAACCTCTGCCCATCTTCACTTCTGAGACACTCTGACTCTCTAAGATGCTCTTTTTATACCCAATAATGTTACTGACCTGTTGCTAATTAACCTAAAATTTGACCAGGTCTCCGATTTTCAAGATGTGAGGAAGAAGGGGACTGAGCTGGATGTAAATGTCCAGGAGCCAAGGAATAGCCTGGAGAGAAAAAGGATGGGTGTGAGGTATTTCTAGAATAATCCAGACTGGGGGGTCAACAACAACACGAAGAGCAGCAATAGATGCTATATGGGCCGCCCTGTATATATTTAATGAGGTTAGGAACCCTCAGGCCACCATGTTTACGGTTGAGGCTACCCAGATAGTGGTAAGAAGGGTATGTGAAAAATAAAGAAGTTTAGGGAGCAGGGTCATTTTTACAGCAAAAATACGTCCGATTCTAGATATCGGAAGATCAGACCAAGAAGCCAAGAGATTTTTTAGGGAGCGAAATAGGGGGATATAGTTGATTGAGTAAAGCATTTTGAAGGAAGAGGTAAGATGAACACCAAGGCACGGTAAATAACTTTTGTAAGGTAGAAAGAAGAGATTGCAGTGAAGTTAAGCTAAGTGAGGGTTAGTAAGATGTCATCAGCAAATAGGCTGAGCTTAAAAGGGATGCCTGCAACCTCCACTCCCATTATAGATGGGTTATTTCGTATAAGCATGGCAAGGGGCTTGACGGCTAAAATAAATAATATGGGAGAGAAGGGAGAGAATCATGCCTGTTTTTAATGCAGTGCTGTCTGAGATTACGGGCATCCAACATTGAATTCGGCCTTGTCCCTTGTACACAGGGTCTTTGCAGTTTTACATTGAGGAACATTATTCTGATATTGTCTGACAATTTTTTGGCGCGGCTTTTCACAGATTGGTGAACCTCTGCCCATCTTCACTTCTGAGACACTCTGACTCTCTAAGATGCTCTTTTTATACCCAATAATGTTACTGACCTGTTGCTAATTAACCTACTTAGTTGCAAAATGTTCTTCCAGCTCTTCCTTGTTAGTGCCACTTACTTTGCCAGCTTTATGTTGCCCTGTCCCAACTTTTTTTTAGATTTGTTGCTGCCACCAATTTCAAAATTACCTTATTGTTTTTTTTCTTAAAATGGTTCATTTTCTCAGTTTAAACATTGTATATGTTTACTATTTTCTATTGTAAATAAAATCTGGGTTTATGAGATTTGCAAATCATTGCATTCTGTTTTTATGTAGATTTGACACAGCGTCCCAACTTTTTTGGAATTGGGGTTGTAGAATCTCAGATGTTCATTCCTAAAGTTTAATAAGGTGTATTCTGCCTACAAACATGACATAGCATAACTTTGGAATATAGTCCAGTCTCCCCTTTTTTATGTTATACATAATATAATGTAAATTTGTCATCTAACAAAAATTCCTACGCTCAAAAAAGTTTTTAAAAAAGCCATTGACATCGAGCTCTGACACCGACCCTATTAAAAGGAACCTATTTCAGACACTTATCCTTAAAAGAGGGGGAAATTCCTACCAAAAGGGCATACAATTAAAATATTACTTAACCCAGGTGGAACTGTAGCTTTTAACTTCCAACAATCACAAAGACCCCATAAGTTAACCATGTAACCTTTACATATGATTATCTAATTTCTGAAAACATTGACAACAATTTTTGGTCCAAGGTAGAACATCTGATTGCCCATACTTATTTATATTACTGATATTGATATTGACTTACTGATAGTGACCTGTGAAATAGCCCAGTGACTTACTTACTGCAGTTAAACAATATCCCAAAACACAGATATACAAAATGTCTCCTCCTTCACCTTCTAAATGCAGCCAGATAGGTTAGCCTCTGGAGATCCTGACCTGAAAATAAATTAGTGGCCTGTCTCTGGTGGATGGCCCAGTATCACCCTACTACATTGCCCATCACCCTACCCCTTTCCTTTCACTCATCTCCATACTAAACAACCATTTTCTCTCTCTCTCCCTATTAAAATATAAATGATGTGGGTAATCAATATATTAATACCACAACGTTTAAGAATGTGTAAGTCCTCCCAAAGAATCAAAATAGCTGTGCTAGGAGTAATCAGTAATAATAGACCAGCTGCAGCAATATAAGGTGGTGAACCCGTGTACGTATAGTGATGCTAATTTGTTGCGCTAGGTCATGTGTAACAATCTCACAAAAATTTTTTTGGGAATATCAACATGTGACCTATTCCATGAAAAATTAAAGTGAGCTAGTATGTGAATGTGTGCAAAATGTATCAAACATCCATAATAATTGAACTAGTTACTACTGCTCACTGTGTAACAAAATTAATAAATAAATAACTGTTATAAAGCACCTGTTATTAGAGCATCTAAACATCTAACTGTATCGGTACATAATCTAATATAGTGCTGACAAATTAATATATAAAAGAAGTGCAATCCCTTCAATAGGCTGTAATGCCGCTCTCAGGGTATCCATGAGCTGAGTGACAATAGTGGGTGTAACGGAGCCGTCCTATACCTCTAACCCGGCAATGGATGACAAATCACGGGCAGTAAGGTTAATTCCCTTGCCTCCAGAACATCTTAGAAGGAAAAAGATCTGTTACGTTGTCTCCAAGAATTGTTCACAAGCCTTAATCCAAAGCAATTTTGTTATTAATCAGCTATATGCACAAACAATAAATAAAGAATAATATATATTTTTTTTAATATCACGGTGTACCTGTTGATCAGGCTGGTTTTCCCCACATACAGGTCTCCCACCATTACAACTTTAGCCATCTTCAACCTGGAAAAATACAATTTACAAGACTACTAGCAGTCACACTGAGTTAAAGAACACATAAGTTTGCTTAGCTTTAAAAGGGAAAAGTTTTTTTAAACTGTTTTTGTAATGTTTTATATTTTGTTAATATTTACATATATCTTTGTTTTGCAAATAAACATTTAATCTAATGCAACAACAATCTAAATTCCATTATGTTTAATAGGTCCAGGTTACACCAATGCAATGTGCTTTGTGAAAATGGGACATGATACATTTAAACCCGGCGCAACAGGATGCAACACATTACAGCACAATGAAATGCACGTTAGATCGCGACCATGATGCACTAAATTCTCACGTTTAGTTTACTAATTTGTATTGAGATTGTAGTGCATTACAGGAGTGAGCTTGGAGTGGTGGCTACTTTACAACACTCAGGGACCATTGGGAACAAAAGTAGCCACCCTCCAGAAGGAAGGACAGTGTCACCACCAATTCAGAGATGATTTGAGGATCTACAGCTGAGTGATACACAAATAGGAGACATTTTATTAATAGTTAAGATACTTGAATGCTTTTTTAAGATTTAACTCCTGATTTTAGTATCACTTTTATCAGTTTTGTAACTAAATATTGGCTTTTGAGCTCTTTAGGGCCCATTCACACCATGTTCATTGCTTTGTGCTGTGTTGCTCAGCAAAGGCCTAATGCACTAACAAGGTGGAACCAATTGTTTAGAATGGGCACAGCACAGTTCACACTACAATGCTGCGTTGATGTGGGCTGAGGGAAAAGGGAACATTTTGCATTTAAAAGCAGTGTAACACACTACAAGATGTCACAGTACGCTGCAGTGCACATAAGGAATATAAAATACATAATAAAAAAATACACATCAATGCAAAGCATTAAAAACGCACGTCATCATATATTCACTCAAGTGTCTTTAACACGTGCTAAATACAACGCACGTGGTGTGAATACAGCCTAAACACAAGGCTTTTTTCCCCAACAAAGCCAATAATGATTGCCTTAAAACATGTGAAAAGAAGCCTGGAGCTCAGGAAAGAAAAATACAAAATGGTCCAGTTTTCTTTTCTCCATAAAATAGCCTCCAATAGCATTTTTTTTTGTTTACTAGGAGGAGTGAGGGGGATCTCAACCTGTTCATTTAAAATGCAGAACTTATTTTAGAACATTATTGATCTAACAAATAAATAGTGAGCATCTTGACAAACAATCACAATATCTATGTAAACATCATGCCATGTAAATGACATGACAGTAAAACATTATGCACTAAGCTTCCTCCCCATCATAGAAATGAACGCCATTTACAAAGAAATTGGAGATGTGTGTATAATTTGTTTAGTGATATCATTCCGATGAGCCTGTCTGTCTATAAACACTGACATATAACTGTGCTAAGGTAACATGAGATCCAAGTGCTGGTTGCTGATCACATTTCTTTGCTCTTGAAGCATTGTTTTTAAATACACCCGCACTACAGATGTATCCTGTATTGTTAGTAAAGGAATATGAGAGGAGGTAAATGACTGCTCCTGCTCATCTGCTGCATGAAATCGACGTGTGTCAGTTACACACAGATAAATGCTTCACTAGGGGGTTACAAAATCTATTGCTGTTACCATAGTGAGTGTATCAATGTGCCAAAGTACGTGTTTGCATAGCAAGGCGCTCAAATGAAGGAATCATTATTTTGCTACAGAAACCTGCTATTAAAACCGCTTAAAATGTCAGTGTGTCTGCCTATCAGGATTAGTCAAGGAATTGCAAGTTACATGTCAGGTATGTTACCATTTCCATAACCTTGGCTTCCTAGGGCCATGCCACACAAGCCATCCTGTTGCTGGCAAGCAACATTATTGCGAAGAGACCACTTACTGTCTACAATGGCTTTGTTCCCATTCTGTAATATTCTTGAGGAAGTGATGCGAGTCACTAAAGCACGCATCTAACCTGCTTACAACACTAGACGGTTCATTTATAAAAGTTATATGCTGGGCAGATGCTGTTTGCATGGCACTATTGCCACTAGATGGCGCTGATGAGTATAGGATCTCCTATACTTGTCAGCACCATGTATGAGCGCTAGTGCCACATGAACGGCATGGGACTTTTATGAATGAAGTCCTAAATGATAAACTTTATTTTTTATCTATTATTTAAAATATAAAAAATGGATTCCTCTTTATTATAACACATTCCCAACAAGCGTATCCTTCCAGAAGGAACGCAAGTCTTTATATATAGTTCATCAGGGGAAACTAGATTCCAATTGTCTTTTCTGTCTATAAATATTGGCAATCCAATTTCCTCCTCTCTGTTATAAATAAATATCTCTCTCTTTTACCATCCCTTATATACTGTGCACTGTCTCAGCTGTTACTAACTTCTCTATCCCCATTCTCTTTATTTTCTCTATATCTTATACTTCCTAATTACTTCCTTTTTTTCTTTTATGCTCTCTGCTGGTCACAGCTAATTTCACACAGCACTAAAGTGCCCCCAACACCCCACTTAGTTCCCATTCTGGCAAGATGTCTTTCCCTGTCACTGCTCCATCAGTAGCAAGCGAGATTCTGCAGAGTTCTTGCCGCCCGACTTCCTGATTGGCTGGGAAGCCGACTCCATGCTGTTTGGCCAGTTCAATGCTGATTGGCCAGGAAGCCAGCTTCCCAACTAACCAGCATGGAGCCGGCCAGCCAGCTTTCCGGCCAATCAGCATGGAGCCGGCCAAACAGCATGGAGTCGGCTTCCCAGCCAATCAGGAAGCCAGGTGGCAGATAATGACCTGCCTCCGAACAAGGAAGAGCTATGAGCACTTCCACCCAATCAGCTATGGTACGGGCATTCCCCACCCCGCAGCTGCTTGTAAACAAATGGGCGGGTTGCTTGTGCTGATGTAATTTTCCTAATCTGGCCACACAGTCCTATTAGGTTAATGTAATTTACCAAATATAACATTTAGTAATACATGGTCAATTATATCACTGCCTCCTGTCACTTTGCCTACATAAAGCTGCTTAAGGGGTAGGGATGCCCCGATACCAGTTTTTTTTGGCATCAAGTATGAGTAGCGATATTTACATTTCGGTACTCGGCGATACCAAGTAGCAACACCGGTACTTCCGCTAGCATAGAGCCAGCTTCCCTTAGGCTGGGTTCACACCTGGGCGTATGCAATATGCGATTTGCGGTAAAAGAAACGTGCGACAAACGCGCGTTTACGAGGGCTATCAGGCTGTATCCTAATGGATACGCGCGGCAAATACGCCCCAAAGAAGCTCCTGTACTTCTTTGGGCATTTTTTACAGCGCGTAGGAACGTGCTGTAAAAAGGCCTGGTTCACACCTGGGCGTTTTACAGCACGTTCCTACGCGCTGTAAAACGCCCAGGTGGGAACCATGCCCATAGGCAATTATTGGTGGGCACACTCTACTGTTTCCAATCTGCAATTCTGCTGTGCAGTAACCTCGCTAACAGATTTGCAAATAGCTTACTATGAATTTGGATAGGAACTACCTAATTTGCATAGATTCATGCTGCAGCAATCTCCAAGCAAAGCAAAATCCTTTCCTTCAAATACATTTGTGCGGTCATTGTTTGTATCTGTATATCAACAGTAATCATTAACAGACAGGAAATGGTTTGAAAACCGAACAGCTGTGGTAACTGAAGCAAAGCACGTAGGAGTGAAAGTGGAGTTGCTGCCCACAGCAACAAATTAAATGCATTGTTCTATGTTACCATTCTCATATCTTAATTAATACAAATAAGAATTATATATACTATTATACAACAGCTTATGTAGAAGAACCAGGAAATGTATGAGTCCCAAGTGAACCTTAGGAATTTGCATTAAAGGGCCTGTCTACCCCTGTGGATGTTGGAGAAATAAATCCGACAGTTTCTTATATCAAGTCAAGGCTGGACAAATCCCAAGAGCCAGGTAGCCAATGCTCCTAAAAATTTTAGAGTTGGCACCCAAGGTTTTCTTTAGGGGTCTATTCACTAAGCTGCCGAGGGCAGCCGAGTGAATGACCGATCTGAAGTGAAGTGAGCCGAATACTGTTCGGCTATTCACTTCAGGCTGGTACGGCTGATTGCAACCGTACATCGGCTGAAATCAGCCGTACATCGGCTTGCTTCGCGTCAGCCAAACATGCTTAGCATGTTCGGCTGACCCGAAGTGCAGAAGGAGTTCGACTCAGCCGATCCAACATCTGGATCGGCTGAGCCGAACCTCCGGCAGGCTACTCACTGCTGTTCGGGCTATTCTTAAAGATGCCGAACAGCAGTGAGTGAAAACAGAGGTACCGAGCACCGAGAGGTACCGAGCAGAACAGAAAAAGAGTTAAAAAAGGTAAAAAAAAGTAAATAGAAAACGATTGTGCGGAGTGACAGCTAGCTCCGCCCAATCCTATTGTCCGGCGGCTCTGCTGCTGTAAAAAAATAAAATAAAATAAAAAACTTTCCCGGGCGCTCTGGGAGCCTCCCGCTCCCGGCCGCTCAGGAGAGAAACACTGATGATTCTGTTTTTCCTTTATTCTGACACGAGCGATCTCAGAATAGAAAAAAAAAGAAATACATTTTCCCATTGAAAAGCATTGGGACATTACTATTGGCTATTTCAATTTGCAATAGCCAATAGTAAACTAGCATTGTACCCGCCCTCTGCTGATGGACCTGATGGGGAACTGCAGCAGAGGGTGGGTACAATGTTAGTTTACTATTGGCTATTACAAATTGAAATAGCCAATAGTAATGTCCCAATGCTTTTCAATGGGAATTTTTTTTTTTTTTCT